GTACAGAGAAGACGAAAAATATGTAAAACATAGAGTTTTGATTGGGTGCAAAGATGAATTTTGACCTCTATGACGATTTTTCCATGTCACGTGGTTAGCTCTCAGCCAATAGCAAAATAGAAAATTAAATGAAACCAAAATTCTGAGTTTTGGAAGGGACGGAGATGGCCATTACGTGAAATCATGAGAGGGGACGCCTCGATCGGTCTCCTTTCTTCCCAGACTTGGCTCAGAGCGGTCGCGTTGCGACTTTGCTCTCCGATTTATTATCATGAAATTTAATTAATATTAATCTTTTAAAAGTGATTGATTGTGAAGTACTAAAAATATGTTTATAATTTCAAATAGTAAAAGTGAAACAGTAATAAAGTTCAATTAAATAAGTGAATTATAAGAGAATTGTAAGTACACTAGGAAATTGCACCACATGCTGCAAGTCAATGAGTAGGGATTAAATTACGCCCTTTGAAATAATAATCTGCTTTTCTACAACAAGGAAGTTTAATACGAGACTTAAAAACATTTATTACACAAAAGAAACTATAAATTCAATAGCCTCTGTGTCACCCTACCCTGTAATATAAGTTAGGTGTAGGATAGCCTCTTTGTTCCTATCCCTGAAATAATATAAGTTAGGCTTGATTATTAATCATAAATTCAATCATAATTTGTCCGAAACTTTTTTTTTGTAAAATGAAGTAACTTTTAATAAACCAATGTTAACATCAATTCGCCTTTTTATTGATATGTAGCTCCACCACGCACCCATAAAACGACCCTGAGATATATGAAAGAGCCCAAGCCCAATTAACTTACATGTGATCATTTAATAAGAGTACTTTATTTTTATTTTTTACTAAAAGGCATAGACCTTACAGTCAAAGCAAGTAAAGTAGAGTCAGTCAAATTAAAGTAAAATAAAGTAAGATAAAACAAAACGTTACAATTGGCGACCAGCAACGTGGGGCTGCATAATCAATAAAATTGTGTAAGATAGGCCTAGGCCTAAATCAATCAACAAAAATGAACACAGAGGAGGTGAACGAACCCGCAGAAGTTATGTTAGGCAAGGTTAATGCTCACTTTTTAGAAAAGGTAATAAAGTTTCCTACTGAAAGAGAGTTTGATCATGTTCAGTGTGTCACATTAGTAAGGGATAAATTGTTGAATAAAGCTCAAAAGAGAAAGGCAAAGTTTGACAAGAAAATCAAAGCAGTAACATTCAATATAGGAGATAAAGTATTAGTGAAAACTCATAACTTGTCAAATAAATTGGATAAGAAAATCAAGAAGTTCTTCTTGCTTTTTACTGGACCATATGTCATTGTTGAAGTCAAAATGGAAAATGCCTATAAAGTGAAAGAGTTAAATTCAGATAAAATAATAGGGACTTACAATGTCACACAGCTGAAAAAGTTCTATGAATGATCTACAATAGCTTGGGCCCTTATAATGCAAAAAAAAACAAGAAAAGATACACCTATAAAGCATGTTATTCCAATGAAACTTTATAAATAATTATTTATAAAGTCACAAAGTAAAAGTAAATTTTGTTTGATAATATTATTCTGTTGTAATAGTAATGATAGTAAATGATTTGAATAAAAGAAAAACAATATTGGAAAAACATAATTTATGACAAACAAACTTTAGTTAAGTAGGTACATAATACAAAAAACATACAAAAACAACACAGTAGGGGTAAATTGTATATAAAAAGGGTTAGAAAAAACGAAGAAGCAGGTACTCATTGGTACTCCTCAAAATAGTGTTACCACTCTGTGTCATATAAAAATAAATAAATAAATAAATAAATAAAGGTCTGATTGCATAAACAGGTTAGAGTAGCAAAACTTACGTTTAAAAAAGAGACAACCTAAGTTTTGTTATTGTAGTCGGTTTTAAATAAAGAAACCGATGACAATGAAAATCAACATTTTCTATTTGTTCTATTAATATTTTTTGAATTGTATAAGGTAGTTTTAAGAGGGTTTAAGTCTTGAATTGTAAATTAGGGAGTGAAATAGTTATTTGTGTAACTAGTGGTGAAAGTGGCACTTTGCTGCACACGAGAGCAATGTTTACGCACGAGCCGCAGGCGAGTGCGGAATGATCTCGAGTGCAGCAAAGGCCCTTTTCACTCGTGTTACACATTATATTTTTTCTACAGTCACTATAAAGCATATACATAATTAGTCTTTCAAACACTATATAACACGTTTTTAGGTTCAGCTGGCAACACAAATAGGTGCCCTAGAGAAAGTAGTACCCGCGGTCCGTATCACTCCGCTATTTTTCCTCGGCAAGAAATGTGCTCCGCGTTTTGAGAATATAGTTCCGTATGTTTTTGTAATTTGAAGTGGTTTCCGCGCATAAAAAATGCTTTAAAGGTATTTTCTTGTTTATTAAGATCGTAGGAATGTTTTAAAAACGTTTAAAAGAAAAGTCCAGAAAGTTCAGAAATACCGAAACTATAAACACGAAATGACAGGTTAAATCGTAGTTATAATAGTCAATCAGCTGCTCATAGTATTATTATCTTTAAGTGCTGCCAACCTATTTCCAAGCGTACACAAATTACGTGCATAATAGAACCACGCTGTTTTGTGTTGTTTCGTTGGAATCCTGATGTGCGGCAAAGTATAAACCGTACGGCAAATTATAAACCGTACGGCAAAGTATAAATATGCAGCAATTAGCAGCTTTCTGTACTATAAACAGTACAAGGAAGCCAACTTTATCGGGTGACTGTAGGAAAAAGTATTAAAAGTGCGAATGAAAGAAGAAAAAAATCTGTGCATAAAACATGCAGAGTGAAAGTGAGAAAGTAGTGAAAAAGTAATAAACCGTGAATTTATGGTAAATGCAAAATAGAAAGTGAATAGTGACCCAGGAATACAAAAGTGGTGTAAAAGTGCGTCAAAGGATCAATGTGGAAATAATAACCAACAGGATAACTCATTGAAGAATATATAAATATATTTTGACAAATAATGTTGAGAAGGAGAAGAAAAAGAGCTGAAGGACACCAGATGAATGGACATCAATGTAGAGTAAGGAACAACCATCATGAAAGGTATGTTTTATATATTTACTCAAATATAAATAAAGTCTTGAAATCATCTGGCCTCCATTGTTTAAATTTAATATTATGAGCTCTGATAAAGAAGAAGGAAGAAGAATAAAAAATTGTCAATAATAATGAACAGTAATGAGTTGTTGGTTACGTATATTTATACATAAAGAAGAAATTGATCCGGACTTTTTATTAAAAGTTAGAATTTACATCACCAAGAAGATTCCCCAAATAGTCACTATAATTGAAGCATTTTACCATGAATAGTTTTATAATAATGCAGTCTGCAAAACAATGAAAGTCACTTTCACTCAGAAAAAGAAAAATGCACAGTGAAGCTCGGACACTTAATCAATTTACAATTTTAATACCCGAAAATGGACATGTGGACTCTAATGTTAAGAGATTATTTTGTTAGATTTTAAGGAATATTGGGTGCTTTGTAGATTTAAGGTGTGTATAATCAAAAGTTGTGTCATTCAAATTGTCTTATCATATGTTAGCTTTAAGATGTTTTATAATTTTGTAAAAGGGTTTAGCGTTAGGTAGGTGGTTTTAAGATGAGGAAACAAACAAATCCTCTGACAGTATAGGTAATTTATAAAAAAAATATAAAAAAAAAAATGTAAACAATTTTTTTAAATTTGTTTAAAATTAGGGGGGTATCTGTAACGGGTCTTATGATGATAACACCCAGAGTTACAAAGGATTTGTTTAGGCTATGTAATTGAAAAAGGAAAAGAATTAGTTAGGCTATAGGCCTACTAATTTTAAGTAACTAGCCTAGACAGTCTTGGCCTAAGCCTAGTACGATGGCATATTACGATCTGAGATTCTCATAAAAACAATAAATCTAAAGGAAAATAGGGGTAAATACAAATATATATTTAATTAAACGATAAATCAACGCACTTAAACGCCGGTAATAACTTCGAAACTAATAATAAGTCACCATTGCACAATGGATAATAACCGATCATGAAATACGTCGTAACTCAATAAATAACCAATAAAATCGAAATTTCTCAAGAATAAAAAGGTTTTAGAATCACTTTTTAATAAATAATAAACAGTTTTTAACATCAAAATCAATAATAATAATAATTGTAATAAACATAACCTGAAATGTCAAAACAAAATCAATATCTAGATACAAGATGGCTGAGGTATCTGGGGCTATCTTTCAGTAAAAAAAAAAAAAGTACAGAGAAGACGAAAAATATGTAAAACATAGAGTTTTGATTAGGTGCAAAGATGAATTTTGACCTCTATGACGATTTTTCCATGTCACGTGGTTAGCTCTCAGCCAATAGCAAAATAGAAAATTAAATGAAACCAAAATTCTGAGTTTTGGAAGGGACGGAGATGGCCATTACGTGAAATCATGAGAGGGGACGCCTCGATCGGTCTCCTTTCTTCCCAGACTTGGCTCAGAGCGGTCGCGTTGCGACTTTGCTCTCCGATTTATTATCATGAAATTTAATTAATATTAATCTTTTAAAAGTGATTGATTGTGTAATAACTGTATTACTAATTAAATAAGTTAAAAGGGAACCCGATACTTGGGACAACTTACTAAATTGCATGACAACTCCGACTGCCGTTCCACTCCGCTTCGTGCCATCGTTCCTAGTCGGTGACGTCACTCAGCAGTGCAGCCAACCACACACACAAACTCAATATTCTTCCGGCAATGTAATATAGCCTTATATATTACACTCGCCCAAACTTAAAATAAAACTCTTCTCTAACGGCCTAACCTTTTTCTTTTAGACTAAGCCAAATCAACAATTTTTTTTTCTTCTTTTACAATTTTTTTTGTTTGTTTATAAGCTTCAAAAAATACTTCAGTAATACTAAATAAACTTTTCTTCTTCAAATAAAATAAACATAAAATCTTCTCTCTCTAACTCGGCCTTTTAACTTAAAGGTCGAGCCGCTTCGGCTTTTGCACAGTCCTTTGAGATCTCCGAAGTGATGGCGGGCTGCACTGCTGGCTGGGCTGCACTTCGGGATGCTCTTCTGTAGTGTGCGTAGCTGGAGATTTTGGTAGGCCTACACTCCGTTGTTGTCTTGGTGATGTATTCCGAGTTTCCATAACACGAGGTGATCGCTCTGGCGGAGTTTGTATTCCCACAGCAGACTTGTTCTCAGGGGATTTGATCGGAGATTGCACTACCGGCCTATTGACTGTAACTTCCTCTTCCTCAGTCAACTTACTAGATCTCAAATGATCTGCGTGGCAGAAACGTATTTTACCTCCCAGGACGCTCACCACATAAGTAGACGGACTTTTCCGCTCCAAAATTCTCCCAGGAATCCAAGAAATGATCTCCTGCCGTACTGACTTCACAAGCACCCTTTCTCCCTCCACAAAGGATCTGAAACTTCCCCGATGGTTATCGGCTGCTTCCTTCTGCGCCTCCCTCTTCTTATCAATGGCTGACAATAAACAGGGTTTAAGCATTGTCAACTTAGTTCTCGGTTTCCATTGAAGGAACAATTCCGCAGGGGTAACACCAGTGACAGTACTGGGTGTGTTGCGAAATGCAAAGAGGAAATTATCCAATTTATGTTGTAAAGAAATGGTCTCAGAACCACTAGCCATAACCTGTCTTTTAAGGTTCTTCTTGACTTCCTGTACAAATCTTTCTGCAGCCCCATTCGAGGCAGGATGGTAAGGAGGTGAGAGCGTAAACTTAATACCGTTGTTGCTCAGAAATTCTCTGAATTCCCCACTAGCAAAATTGGGACCATTATCACTGACCAATTCTTCGGGTAGGCCAAAAGACGCAAACAGCGTACGCAGTTTTTCAATGGTTTTAAACGATGTAGTAGATTTCATGATAAACACTTCTAGCCATTTGCTAAAACTATCAACAACTATGAGCATTTGTTGTCTTGTTAGTGGATCTTCCGCATAATCCACGTGGATGCGCTGCCACCTACTTGAAGCTCTAGGCCACTGACATAATGGCACCTTAGCCACAGCATTCCTTGTACACTGACACACATGACATGAGAGAACAGTCTCTTCAATTGTTTTATCAATTCCCGGCCACCAAACAAAGCTTCGGGCTAACATTTTCATCCTATTTATTCCGGGATGCTGATCATGCAGCAATTGGATAACGGCACTCCTCAGTTTCTCTGGCACCACTACTCGACTATCCCATAAAACACACTGGTTCTCTACGGACAACTCATCCCTTCTTCGAAAATAAGCAACCAGCTCAGAATCTTGACTATCACGCCATCCATGCCAAATGAAATCTCTGACCCTTGTCAAAACAGGATCAGTATCAGTAAGTCGAGCGATATCCTTAGCAGTAATAGGATTGAGATCACTCACCAATTTGAAACAGTCAAAGGCCTCTACCAGGGAAGAAACATGAGAGATGTAGTTGGAATCCAGCTCCAATTGGTCGTCATCAGGTAACGGTAATCTCGAAAGAGCGTCCGCATGTGGCAAGTCCAAGCCACGGCGGTACTTTACTTCAAAACTGTAGGCGGAGAGGATCAGGGCCCATCGTTGAAGACGCGCAGCGGCGACACAGGGAACTCCCCGCTTATTTCCAAAGATTGTCACTAAAGGAGCATGGTCAGTCTGTAACACGACATTTTTCCTACCGTAAATATATTTATGGAATTTTTTTACTCCAAAAACAAGAGCCAAAGCTTCTCTATGCAACTGTGAATAATTTCTTTCACTAGCACTCAAGGATTTCGATGCGAAGGCAATAGGCCTCTCTACTCCATCAATAAGGTGCGAAAGCACGGCACCAACACCTCGTGGACTTGCGTCACAAGTCAAAACTAATGGTCAATTTACATCATAATGAACTAAGACATCTGAAGACAATACCCATGTCTTACTTTCTTGAAAAACAGAAGAACATTGGGATGACCATACCCACGGTGCATCCTTACGAAGTAGATCGTAAAAACAGCTAAGTTTGTCTGAAAGATTGCAAATAAACTTCCCATAATAATTTATAAGGCCTACATAGGCTCTTAACTCTTCCTTTGAAGTTGGCTCGGGTGCATTCCGAATCGCCTCCAAAATACCCTCCTGCGGGCTGATCCCTTTGGACGACAAACAGTAGCCTAGGTACTGTACTGACGGCTGTAAGAATTTACATTTAGAATCATTTACCTTGACTCCATAACTTTGAAGACGTTGAAGAACACTCTCCAAGCGTGACAACGCTTCCTCTTGCGAAGATCCACCCACCAGTACGTCATCCAAATATGCCACCAGGTAGGCCACCAATAATTTTGTCCATGGCCGCTTGAAAGAGAGCCGGAGCCGAAGACAAACCATACGGCAGACGTCGCAAACGCACTAAGCCTTTGTGCGTAGTTAGAGTCAAGAGTGGTTGGGACTCATCCGCCACAGGAAGTTGGAGATACGCTGCCTCCAAGTCCAAAACTGAAAACCAGCTACAACCTGCTAGAGTAGCAAAAATGTCCTCCGGTTGAGGCAAGGGATAGTGTTCCGACTGGATCACTTGATTAAGAGTTACTTTAAAGTCCCCGCAGAGTCGCACCCCACTTTTCTTCTGAATCACCACAATATGAGTAGCCCACTGAGAGCTGGTAACGGGATAAGCAATACCTTCAGCAATCATCCTATCAATCTCATCTTCTACTGATTTACGCAACGCGTAAGGAACAGGGCGATATTTACAAAATTTTGGCACAGCATCCTCTTTTAGCACAATACGTGCCTCAACATCCTTAATTTCACCAGGACCTCCTTTGAACACAGAGGCATACTTTTGTTTCAAACCAGAAACGACTTTAGGCTCATCGGCCTTACCTAGGGTTAGGTTAGGTTCACCACCTTTAGATTTAACACTGCCTGATAGGCTATTAAAATTACAAGTAAAAATAGATTTCCAGTCAAAAGCAATATGTTGTAGCCAACTACGGCCTAGAAGCATAGGCTGATTCGTACGATCAATCTTAACGACTATCATAGGTAACTGATAAGTCTGGTCCATGTAGGTTACTTTGACTAAAGCTTGTCCAATAACATTGACTTCATTGCCTGAATATGTAAGCAACTTGATATCTACAGTACTCAATTGTACATGAGGGAAATATTTGTTAAACAATTCTTGAGGGCACACAGTTAGTGCCGAGCCAGTATCAATTTCCATTAATACGGATACATTCTCTATTTCTAGGCTTACCTTAAAGGCAGAAACATTATCACCAGAATTCATACTGTACAAAGACAAACTTTCAAACTCCACTTCATCTGGACCACCACTAGGCCTAGGCCTATTTTCCTCTTCCATCTGATGGATTTTAAATTTACCACTTTTTATGGAATTTTTCACTGGATTTTCATTTTTGAACCTGCAAACCTTACTGATGTGACCCAACTTTTTACACCCATGGCACTTGTAATTACTATACGGGCAATTATTAGCCCTATGCTCTGGATTGCCACAACGAAAACACTTATTTATCTGAGACATATCTCCCTTCACATCACTTGAATTTGATTTAGATCCCGCACTGTGAAAATTTGAACCTCGGTTGGAAACACGTGCATTCTTCTTGACCTGAAACCTGGAAATTTCCTGAACACTTGTATTCGAGAATAGACCTGTTTGTTTCTCGGCCTGTTCAAGCCTGAGTGCAAGAGCCAACGTTTTCTTCAAATCCATTTCTTCGGAAAGTAATTTTTGACGAATTGCTTCATTTTTAATTCCCGAAACTAACTTGTCTCTCAGTGCGTCCGATAAGAATGTTCCAAAATCACACGTCGAAGCCAAATGCTTCACTGCCACTACGAACTCTGCAATACTTTCAGATTGTTTCTGGCATCGACTATAAAAAGTATAACGCTCAGCGACCACAAGGCGTTTAGGAGAATAATGATCTTCCAAGATTTTGCTCAAATTATCGTAAGATTCTTCATCAATCTTCTTAGGAGAAATAAGATCGGTGAGGACGGCTAATATTTTAGGGCCTATTACAGTAATCAAGATGGAGACCTGCTTCACGTCCTTGACCTCGTTGGCCTTGAAAAAGTGTTTCAAACGTAACAAATACGAACTAATATCTTCTTCGTACGGATTAAACTCCGATATCCGACCGATACTAGACATTTCACGCACACGCGGATTTAATTTCGTCGCCAAATGTAATAACTGTATTACTAATTAAATAAGTTAAAAGGGAACCCGATACTTGGGACAACTTACTAAATTGCATGACAACTCCGACTGCCGTTCCACTCCGCTTCGTGCCATCGTTCCTAGTCGGTGACGTCACTCAGCAGTGCAGCCAACCACACACACGAACTCAATAATCTTCTGGCAATGTAATATAGCCTTATATATTACAGATTGTGAAGTACTAAAAATATGTTTATAATTTCAAATAGTAAAAGTGAAACAGTAATAAAGTTCAATTAAATAAGTGAATTATAAGAGAATTGTAAGTACACTAGGAAATTGCACCACATGCTGCAAGTCAATGAGTAGGGATTAAATTACGCCCTTTGAAATAATAATCTGCTTTTCTACAACAAGGAAGTTTAATACGAGACTTAAAAACATTTATTACACAAAAGAAACTATAAATTCAATAGCCTCTGTGTCACCCTACCCTGTAATATAAGTTAGGTGTAGGATAGCCTCTTTGTTCCTATCCCTGAAATAATATAAGTTAGGCTTGATTATTAATCATAAATTCAATCATAATTTGTCCGAAACTTTTTTTTTGTAAAATGAAGTAACTTTTAATAAACCAATGTTAACATCAATTCGCCTTTTTATCGATATGTAGCTCCACCACGCACCCATAAAACGACCCTGAGATATTAAAGAGCCCAAGCCCAATTAACTTACATGTGATCATTTAATAAGAGTACTTTATTTTTATTTTTTACTAAAAGGCATAGACCTTACAGTCAAAGCAAGTAAAGTAGAGTCAGTCAAATTAAAGTAAAATAAAGTAAGATAAAACAAAACGTTTTATCTTACTTACTCCTCAGTCTTCGTCCTCATCCTCAAATTACTCCATCCATTTATAATATCTTTACTTACTTAACTCATTGAACGATCTAGGCCTAACTTTCAAAATGAGATTTTAACATTTTCCAATAGATGCAAATTGCAATTAAATAAATTAAATACCATCAGTGAGTATATTCAATCATGTCCACCAGAAATAACAGAAGCTCAAACCACTAAACTTAACCTTAATTTGCAAGAAGCTAAAACAATTTCTGCCAATTTTGAAGCTAACCTTGATAAGCTTCTTGATGTTGATGACGACAATAACGTTTTTTCTGACAATGAAGAAGCTATTTTAAAGCTCCAGAACGACATATCAGAACTCTCAATAAACATTCAAACCGAAATTTCTCTTTTAATTCAGAACTTTAATGATGAACACTTGTCAAATAACTCTGTAGCATCAAACCCAACCTCTAGGCCTACTCATAGCGTTGTAAAATTGCCCAAGCTAGAACTGAAGTCCTTCAATGGTGACACTAAAACATGGATATCCTACATTAACCTTTTTGATACTACTATCCACAATAACAGTAGCTTATCCCTTGTTGAAAAACACCAGTACTTGATAAGTTCAATTGAAGGCGAAGCCTTACACCTAATCAAATCCCTACCGATCTCGTCCGGCAACTATACAGTAGCCTATAATGCTTTACGGGAAAGATATCACTCGAAGCGTAGGCTAATCTCTGTCCACCTCAGTAAAATTGTCGATTTGCCCAATATTACTGAAAACTCAATCAAAAACCTCAGATCATTTTTAAATGAGTTTAATGAAAATGAACAAGCTCTTAGTGTTCTTGGCTATAATGTCATGGAAGACAACTACCTACTAAGTATGTTGATCTTACGAAAAATGAATTCCAATCTCTGTCAAGTTTTCGAATCAAAACGCATAAATTCTTCTGATTTTCCTCAAGCTAGTGAAATAATCAAATTCCTCAAAGATTTTTGTAACAAAAGTGAAGATGCATCTCTATGTCACAGTCAGCAAGCAGCTCCTCTCGAAATATCCAACCCTCACCAAGTTCCACGTCAAATTGATGAATCAATTCAGTTTCAACATCCTCCTATGGCTTTGATATGTACTTCAAATGATTTGAAATGTTTTTGCTGCCATAAAAATCACAAAATATACAGTTGCCCTGTCTTTAATAGTAAAACCCCTCAAGAAAGACTTAAAGTTGTACGCAACTCAAAACGCTGCACAAATTGTCTTGGTAATCACTTTGTTAAACGCTGCAAGTCTACTAATACTTGTAAGACCTGTTTGAAACTTCATCACACACTCCTACATTTTTTGAAGCCTACTAAGCCTATGGCTGATAACAGAAATCACTCCAACCAAGAACAAAAAGAAGCAATAGCAAACTCAAAACCTTCGAAACTGACAGCTGTAACTCCTGGCCATTTTCTTATCAACTCTTCTCTGACAACTTTTCCTGACCCAACAAAGATCTCACCTCTTATTGATAATTTACCTCAAATCTTCACCCAAAGCCTATGCTGCCGTTGGAGCCAAGAATATTTTAAGACCCCTCCTCAGCGTTGTTTCAAGTGGAACCTCAAGAAAGAAAACCTCAATGTGTAGACCCTGTTTGTTAAAACACATCAGCTCCTCCTATGCAAGACCAGCGATAAAAGTGTTTCCCATCCCTTAAATGTGTTCCTCAGACAATCAATTTTACATAAATACCCCCCTCAGTTTTTGTTTTTGTTAAAAGTAATATCTTAATTTGTTGAACCCCATTGGTTCAAAGGGGGCGGTATGTTCCGTCAAGTGTCTTTGTTTCATCTATTAATTTAAATGTCTTTGTATTTAACATCCCATCATATGACCATTATCCATTGTTGGATTCATTCATCGCGAATCACCTCTCATAACAACACCTACTCATTATTTCTCTCATAAATTAAACCTCTTTTATATCAAAACCCTCGACCTTTTACTCTTTATTATTAATAACACCGCACATAGACATTTTTGCATCTAAATAATCATTGCACAATTTAAGACTGACTATTCTCTGCTGGTTACCATGTGGATTGCATAACTTTTATCTGCCATTCAAACTATCACCATAGACAAAAAGAATCCTTTTTGTCTATGCTATCACCCACTTCATTGTATATATAAATGCCTTTTATTCTATTCTACATTCATTGCAGTAGTTATTTTTAATTATAGCTATTTTAAAACTGTATGTAATGGCAACTCGAAGTAATCTTAAAAATCCATTCACTAAACAAGATCTCAAATCAAGAATACAAGCATTATGAACGATGTCGGACCACCATGGCTTAGCCATCTTAACTGTATGTAGATAATGTATAATATGTATTATAATGTGTGCAGTAAGTTTGAATACCAGTACAGACCATTGGAATTTTTGGAATATTCTAATGTAAAGCAAGAATGTGTTAGACATATGCTTAAATAACCTGGAAGTTACTCATTCCAGTCATCTGAGTAACATCAAGGATAAAAAGAGTAACTCTAGGCCTACAATAAATGGAAAGAGCACGTTATCCTCAACCAAATTACCTAATAGTACTAATGATCCTGTAAAGCCAACAACTGCATGTAATTTTGCTCAGACTGATACCACTTATTCTATGCTCTGTGACTGATACACACTACATCAGCATTTAAACAACTCAAGAACTTCTAAGGGAAAACTGGATTACTGATAATACTTTAAATAGTTATTTCCACTTAATAAATGACAGAATCCTGTCATAAACTCGACCTTGACCAACTGTAAACATCACATGTATGCTGACGACTTACAAATCTATGACCATTTTACTGCAAAAAACGAAAATGACTGTGTCAGAAGGATCAATAAAGATGTAATACTACCTTGAGGCAAAAATCTTGAAATTAAATTATCAAAGATTCATCAAAATTTTGTCATTGGTTTTTTTTTTAATTTTGAAATCAGGCTCCCGAAATATTTTACATCAGATTTTAAATTTGTGTCATGATTTACATTTACACACGAACGGGAGCGGTACATCGTAAGGATGGAAAATAATATTATTAAGAGAATGAAAAGATTAGTTGAAACTCACCTTTGGTTATGTTCCGTTGGCTCACAAGCACTTTTGTTGCAGTTATAAATTAATTTTCTAAAATCGTACAGGCACTATAGAATTAACTATAGACAAAAACAATTGAATATTGAAATAAGTATTTCACTTAATTGGAAGTACTTTATGACTAAAAATCTGATATTGCAACAATGCGAGTAACAAACGACGCAAAATTACAAACTGAACTGAGTTCAGTGTAACTGACAAACACAAAGAAAGAGGTTAGGATTTGAAGGCGTGCATTTTGGCGTCTGGTGTCGCTTGGTCGAACTGCATCATGGGCACTCGTACTGGTTGTTTTGATAACCCTGATTCAGGGCGGAATCTGGGAACTCTAAAAGGGCAGTATTTTTTTGCCCTTGAATCGGCCAATCCTAAACAATGAATAAACGAATTTGCCATCTTGTAGATTTGAGGGCCTCGCGGTGGCCATCTTGGAAAACCCCGAGTTCCGGTTGTCCGATTTTGGTAGACTTTTTTCCTGGTACTTTCTACAACTATTACAACCAATAACCGTTGAAAAACCATTTGTTGGAATTTGTTCTGTCTCAAGTGCCTATATCTACCCGACTACAAGGGATTTAATGTGTAGGGGTAGGCTGATCCAAAGACGGCAAGCGGTAACAACAAAAGCCCTTTCATAACGGTGGTCACATGATGAGGTATAGGCAATGTGGTAGAAGAAGAACGAGAAATTCGTGAACTACCTTGAGACACAGTAATTTAATGTATGTGGATGGAATTGTAACCATGTTATCAGACCATGGTGGCCAATGTTTGAGAATTGCATCTCCCAACCTTAGCTACGGAAGGAAAATTGTGTTTTTTAAAGAAATTTTGATCAGGAAAAACCATTTTCTCCATCATCTGCCCATAGTACTCAACCCTCAAACATTTCAATAAAAAAAAAAATAAATAAAAAAATATATATATATATATATATATATATATATTTGGTGAGTGCAGTTATCCGTCTGTTGTGAATAACTGAA